TTCTCGTCAGTTTATTCTTTGGCTGTACCCGAAATCCTGCCTGACTCGTCATTTCTGGCTCATATTCTACATTTCTCCCCTCATCCAAATCAAATCCCTCTGTGCGCTCTTACACGGCCTGTCAAGCCTCCAGTTTAGTGATGTAAAAAAAAAAAAAAAAAAAAAGGAGGTCAGTCTGAGCCCGGCGGGATGCAGGGCAGCTGCTCCCTGACCGGTTCTCCCGTCACACCTACTGCAGACTGCAGATCTGTTTCTGAAGGCATTTTGTTGGCGAGTAATTAAAAGGAAATAATGATGTTGCCGAAGGTGCGGCATCGCTACCGAGGACGTCAAGACGGGGCATATTGTTGGCTGCATTATTAATCTCTTGACTGTAAATGACACATTGATGCTGGGGAGGATTCTCACCCTTTTTATATTTGTATAGGATTTGATTGAGCTGAAGTAATTGGCAACGTTACGGGAAATTATTCTGTGGGCAAGGTCAGTTTTTCTGTCCAAAAACTTGAAATTGTTGCCCTTTTTTTTTTTGGCAAGTCTGGAATTTAAAAAGATGCAATATTTAAGATTCGGCAGTCAGCCCATACCACTGGTGAACGGTTCTTACATTGAATTATTCTTGGCCCGTTTGTATTTGTAGAGGATATGAGTAAACTGGATAAATTGGCAAAGTAAAGGGGAAATATAGGTTAATTGAAATTATTGCACCTTTTGGCGTATTCTGCGTAAAAACGCACAAATAAAAATGCACCACTCAGCCCATTCACCTAAAAACAACGTGTCACTATAAAGATAATTTTTCATGCGCATTCAAAAATACTCATGCCATTTTACAAACATAATATTCCTTCTTCCAGACAAATAAATAAACCCTCTGACTCAGGTAACTATAGAAGATAATGTAACGTTGTCTGCCCAATTAGCCGAAACAATTATTGCAACTTTGACTTTAATTACATCTCAATTTGAAGCTTCGCGCTGGTCTATAATTCAGTGATTAAAAGCCCTCCATGCCCCACTGCCTTTAGGGCAGCGCGTGATTAGGACCTGTCAGCTGCTGCAGTGAACGGAGGCAGCCATGCGTGTTGTGCAACATGACCCGCTGTTGTTAAACCTTGTCAACATATTAACCTGAACTCCCCAGTCATTATGGACTGAATTGCCTACATATGAAGACAAAAATGAACACATATGTGTGTAATTAAAAAAAAAAAAAAAGATAGCCTAGTACTTTCTCAACAAGGACACACAAACGCCCCAATGCCTAGCTCTTACAATAAGAGCTCATTATGCGTAAGCTGCAGAGTTGACAAAATAAATATATTTGTTAATGTTTTTGTTATGTCAGAATATAAAAGATGAAAGGAGATGACTTCAGACAGGAGTTCAACATGGTCTCAAGTATTCAATCCTGTTGTTAAAAGTGATGTTAAAAAATCATGAGTCATGGGGCTATGTGATCGTTGCATGTAGACAAACAGAAGTAAAGAGGTTTGACAAGAGGAGAAAGAGTGTTTTGGGGAGGGCCAAAAGGTTCATCTGAAGCACACTTGATCCTTGTCAAAATATATTGATTCATGTTCTTTCAAGAGACAGTTGATGTCTTCCTTAATTTCTGACTGGCCATCTGGACGGACTGATGAGGAGAGACTCCTGTTTTCTTTGTAGGTTAAAAGGTGAAATATGTCAGGATCCTGATATGTGAGCTAAAGACAAGACATTCATTATTCAACGTTAAATTAAGATATAAGAAGACATTTTCTTGCATGCATTTCTTAAAAGAATGGGTAACTGATGTCAGAGTGTTTTATGCAGTTTGCAGAGCATATCCACTCACATATTGTAGGAAGTGTTTGCATAAGTTTGCAGGAGTGTCCGAGTAGTGGATGCAGACTGGGCCTGAGGTTTTTATGAATTTCCCTTCAGCCACAATCAGTGCAAGCCAGTTTCCTTTGGTGTATCCAGAGGTGAATAATTTATAAGAGGATAAAAGCGTTTGTGGTGGAGAGCTAGACAGTCAGACAGTAGAAGGAGGCTGGCTGGAGCACCCCCTGCCCCCCCCTCCCCCCATAACTCCTCCAACCTCTCAACCCCTCCAACCGAGCTTGCCCCTCGCCGCGTGGTGGCCTTGCACGATGCCTCCTCGGACGGTTGCTTGAAGTGCAAATCTGTGTTCCAACTTGTTCCCGCTGCCTGTCAGCATGTTTTCCTCTTGTCAGCAGCGATTGAGTGTGGGCCTGTGTCACCCTTGTACCGCCGCTGTAACAGGATCATTGACAGGCCAGTGACACTGCCCAACCAGATAATGGAAACCTATTGATTTTTCTTCTTTTTTTCACACAGGCAGTCTGAATAACTGGCCAAAGGACAGGGTCATGATCAATGGTCCTGATCTCTGGATCACTGCTGCCACAGATGCCAAATGGGGAAAAAAACACACAAGACTAGCGGAATAAAAGTCAAGATTAGCAAATAAAAAGATAGTCCTAGCACACTTTCTGAAGATACAAGAACTTAGATCAGAACAACAAATTGTGAACCATTTCCTGAATAATATGAAAATACTAAATGAGAGATTATTGGCTAATACAAGAACACAAAAACAACAAAGTTGTTCAAGTTTTTTAATTTTTCCACCAATTTTAATTTGCTTAATCAATAGCAAGTGTTACCTCTAACTAAAATTCAGGTTTGCTCTGTGCTGTGCATACAGGGGTTTGCAGTTTTAATGGAGCAGTCTCCAGAGAGGAGGCCCCTTTGATACCCGTGGCAATGATAAGCATGAATTGGCTGCCTACCATTGGACCCCCGTGGCAGATGGCGAGTGCGGGTCCTGAAACAACACATTTCTTTATGTCAGCCTTGTCCCTCTCTCGCTCTCTCTCTCTCTCTCTCTTTGAGCCAGCAGAATAATGAAAAGCCCAATTCTGGTCATGGCTAACTCAATCTCATTATAATCTCTCTTTTTATTCATTCAGCCCCTTGGGATGCTGTCTGCCAGCGATGTGGCTTTCAACCTCCAGAGAGAACATCTTTTGAAAGAGCCAGGAGACCTAATGAAGTCACAGAGTGGCACAATTATTTCCCAAAGAAGGAGCATTAATGTACTTCAAAATTCCCTCCGGAGAGGAATGATGACAATTGGTTTGTACAGCTTTGATCGCTGCTTTAAATACTGCCCAGGATAAACTGCAGGGTTAGCCCCCTTTGCCACTGGTAAGTAGAAAACCCAGAAGTGGCTATCCAGCATGAAATACTTCAAATAGTCAGCCTGTAACGCTAAAAACAGAGTTTAAAATAGCACATAGCCCTGAAGTTACTTTCTGTTGGGAATAAGGGTGCAAATCACACGGAAAGCTCTATCTTTCACCCCAAATAACCGCAACAGATTAAATTGGCCTACGTGTTGTGGACAGGGAATGGTAGTTCATCAAATGACTGAGAGGGCGAACTGCAAAAAGTTGGTTCAGGGCTTGGTAGTGAAAGTAGGTGAAGCTTATATAAAACATGACATGAAACATAAACACCAAGATTATTGGAGCTTTTGCATTATCATAACTAAAGAAAAATAGAAATGAATATGAGACAAACTTCAGCTCTCCAAACTCATCTTTTGTTGTATTTTAACTACAGTGTACCACTCTTTCTCATGGTGATGATGGTGTTGAAGTATAACTTCCTGATGGCACCAACCATCTTACATGAACACAAACACTGATGACCAAAAATCTCAAAGTGCCAAAACTTCCTGTGCAGCAGTTAGTTGTCCTCTAAGGTTGAGACAGGGCTGATACATTAATGAATGAAGATCAGCACTATGATAATGAGAACGTATTGACAGGAAGAAATGAATACAGTAATCATTTCAAAGCAGATAAAGCAGACCTATTCATGAAATAGATGAACAGGGGTCATATATTAGAATAGTTTTAATTCAGAGCAGAAGCTAAAGTTGCATTGCTTCAGTGTTTAGTATTTCCTCCTTTCTGGTTGATCTGTCTAAATAAACAGTTATCACTCTTAAATAGAAATGGTCCATCAGTGTCCACACCTTTTTTTATTCATCATTAATATAACCAGGTCGGTCCCATTGAGATGAAGAACCTATTTTCCAACAGAGACCAGGCCAAGACAAACACAAAGAAAAAACACAAAGTTACAGACGAAGACACAAAGAGAGAAAAAATACAATTTACAAAACACTCAAATTTGCAGTAAAAAGAGAACCAGCCATAAGTCAAATCTGAGAGTCAGTAGTTCAAGCGGTCAAGCTAAAACATGGACATCCTATAGAATTTGCTTCCAAGGCTTTCATTTTAGATTTAAAAACATTTAAGGAAACCAGCTCCTTGAGTTTTAAGTCACTCTGTAACAGATTCCAGGCTGAGGGTGAGCGTTTGGTAAAGAGAGCATAAAGAGGTCCTGAGAACGCAAAGAATACACTCTGGTACTCCTCTGCATTAAAAATAAACATACTGTAGAGTGGGAGCCGACCTTTATACATGAAGGTGTATCAGTGGATGAGCCCGCGAGCTGCAGAGCACGCCATCCTGCAACACAAATGTGTTTGCTAATTGTGATGTCACATCTGAAGTATCCTGAAATGTTTCATATTCCTCAAATCTGAACAACTTAAAAGTTAAGAAAGTAACGAGGCTATTGTTTTAATCAAAATCTGTTTTATTGACATTGTTATTTCTTTACAAATTGTTCAACCAGGTAAAACATCATGTAATGACATCATCAACACGGATTGATGACAAAAGAGGTCAGCTTTATCTTTCTGATGCAAAAAGAACAAATGCTCTCTATGTTATTTAAGATATATCAAAACAGGTTTGTGCAAACAACAATCTTTTTTTAATGCTTAAAATCAAAATGAATGAATTTGTGGTTATCAATCATCAATCAATCATTATTAGTTTAGCGCCAATTCATAACGCTTTACAAAAGAGCATATGGGATAAGATGCAGGCAGGATTTCTCCTTTGTATTCTTGTTGTCCACACTTCCTTGCCGCTGAAGTGGAGGTGGGAGCAGGCGGTGGTTGTGGGGACGACACAGGTTATCATCTTTAACATCAGAGCGGCTGTCAGTTCAACTCCTCCCTCATAAGAATCTTCATTTATAATCAAAAATTCTTTGCATCACAACTCTCTGTTCAATTCAAATCTCAGACATCTTGTTCAACTAACAACTCGAGTAAAACTGTTTGTCCCCTTAACCTGCTGTCAATCATCTTAGATCAATGTTTTTTTACATTATGTCCTTTGAGGAGCTTTAACTGTGTTAGGTGAAATGATCAATCTTCTAATATCTACTTCCTTCTGTTAGAATAGTTGTAGAATAAATGCTTCAGTATATTTGCCTTATTAAATAGAATTCACTATAAGTGTAAGTACCTTTATTGGAACTTTAGACTCATGCTTTTTAATAAACAAAGTTCCTGATCTACAAATCTAAAGATAGCCCGTACAGGTGCAATAACGCCAAAGCCATTTGGTCCATTTGAAACAAACTCTGGTGCGCTTTGTCGGATAGTTTGTTTGAGTTGGGGCGAGGTGAATGCTCAAACGATTCGCCGTCGATGAGAACGCGTTCCAGACCGAACAAGGGAAGTGAACCAAAACGTGGCTAACGTTAGCATTGCTAACAACAACAGCCTTAATACCTGCCTGTGCTACGTGTGGTTACACATCGCCCCAGTCGATATGTTAGTTTAACCTGACGCAGCAGACTTATTACTTTATCTCCATTTAATAGATCAAAATACTGCGCATCAAAATACTGCGCATCAAAATGTGCGGCGCTATGGGATGCCATTCTTCCACTCTCCTGTTGTTTACTTTCAGGTCATAGTGCAGCATTAGGCTGTGTACACTCCAAACACAAATGTATTCATTCGCGCTACAAAAGTACATAGATAGTAAATGGAATGCAAAATCGCATAGTGTGGGCCGATGGACTTGTTGCACGATAAAATGAACGCAAAATGACGCAACATTTGCGTCCCTCACGGCTTTGCGTTAGTTCAAAATATTTAACTTCAGCGACAAATTCGCTTGATGCCTTGACGCGACAGCCAATCATCATTAACAGAAGACAATGACAAGGCTGGAGGAGAAACATCTGGAGCTGCACAACTCGAGTGATTAGCTTGCAGTAGCACTGAAAGTGGTCTTAATCTGGACGTAGTTCCAGAAGAAAACGGTGATATTCACAGAGCTGTGTGAAGCTCCAAAGGATGTCGTAAACACAGAGATGACAGTGTTGGAATCTACAACTTTGGTCAACAGGTAAAAGGCAGCGATAACATCACTGTGGTTGATTGTAGGAGAAGGAGACATTGGTATCTAGGAGACAAGCCCCCCTTGGCTTGTCGCTTCAGGGTCAGACGGGCGAAATTGATGACATTTGCGCAATCCCGCGACGGGAATTTTTTTTTTCGCGTTTGGTGAGTACACACTATTAGGCTGGATGACAGTCACCACTGACCGGAGCTACAGCCCTAACTAGTGATGGGTGGCTATGGTACACATCATTTGACAGGCTTTGGTGCGCTTTACCAATTGCAGTCTGAGAGCAAACTGAACCAAATAAAAACTTCAACCCTGAATCGAGCCCACCGACCTTCATATGTGAAGTGACGTAAGTCTACTAATACTATGCCTGAGTAGGAAAGTAAGATTCACGTTATAGAAATATTGAATAATTGATAAGTGGTAAAGATAAATACTATATGTTTAGGACCTCTATGCTACAGTTGTAAAGTATCAAGTGTAACAGGTTGAATATTTTAAGAACATATAAACAGATAAATTACCTAAAATAACCTTGAGTCATTAAAGCTGTGTTTATGTCAACTTTAGCGTTTCTACATCACGGTTATTCCGTGTCCATTAATGTGCTAACTTAAATATGCTAACATTAGTGAGGCAACAGGCAATTGCAGCTCGAGCAAAGGACAATTGTGTCCACCACTTGCGCTAAACTCCTCCATGCCAGCTCAAGTGGTGGAGGGTTGGAGGTATGTCGCTGGAGGAGAGCGGAGGCTTTTAGTATGGCGGAGGCGGCGCTTAATAGCAATTTGTTTTGGTTTCATGCTGGTGCTCAAGGGCGACGTCTAATGGATCAAAAAGTCGCATACGTGTATTCCTTGTTGTTCATTTAAGAATAACATGATCATTTGTAAAGAGTTGCCACATAAAAAAAAATCTAACTCTAACAATTTTGTTACAACTAAAAAAGTTGTTTTTTTTCAGCTTAAGATTTTGTTTTTCATTAGAAAGAGATGATGTTACTGCTGCTTTAATGAGAGCCTGCTTTCAGAAATTACACTGAAGCCGGAGTTTAAGCAGCAGAGCAATGACAGAACAAACTGTCCCAACATGATGCACATCCTGAATGTCACTTTGATTAAAAGAAACATCATGTTGCTTTGGTAACACATGTCAAATGTCATGCCAATAAAACCCATTGATCCTCTGATACAACACAGAGAGGTGAAATCCTTCAAAGCAACGACAAACCAGAGGCAGCCTTGTGTTCGCTGCTTAACGAGAGCACAGTATTGTTTTATGTCGGCTCCAAGAGTGGAGATGCTACTTTTTACTCTTGTTTTTATCACAAAGTTTCTTTTAAAGGTACAGATGTTTTTTTTTTCTTTTTGTAATGAGAAAATGTAATGATGTAATAAGTTACAAGAATCTGAGAAAATCTGAAGTTTCTTCTTTTTATAATACAAATATTTCCTCATTATATTAAAATGCTCTGTCTTGATAACAAGGCACTTTGATTTATCATAAACAAAGCAGCATTTTCAAACAAGTGCAGATCTGTACTGTTCTGTCTAACTTGTGCAAATAAAGAAAACAAACTATCAGTTGTTTTAGCCAAGTTATTAAGGCAAAGCATGTCAAGAAAGCATCTTATAATAAACCTTATTCAAATATAAAGTGTTTATCAATAAATACTATAAAGTAGTCCAGTTTTACTTTAATATATTTCTACTATGTTATAACGAGTGGAAACAACATTTTGGGCGGCAGCAGCTCAGTCTGTAGGGACTTTGGTTGGGAACAGGACGGTTGCCGGTTCAAGTCCCGGTGCAGAAAATTTCCAAATCTGGAAATTGGTCTTGTAGCTGGAGAGGTGCCAGTCCACTTCCTGGGCACTGCCAAGTTGCCCTTGAGCCAGACACCAGGGGTGTTCGCTGTGGGCAGCCCCCTCACTATGACGTGTTAGTGCATGTCCATTGGATCATGTTTGTGCATGTGTGTCAGCCTCTGTGTGTGTAGCATGTTCAAAAACAGTGTAAAATTGAATTCCCCCTCGTGGGATTATTAAAGTATATCTAATCTTATTTCTATAAACACTTACAGGACCAAGTTTAACATTATGCTGATTATAAATCAAACATTGTGCATATTCAGGCTGCTGGAGGGTCTGAAAGCAGAAAACTTTACTCAGGATCTCTGTGTTCGCCAGTCGTACTTGTTTGTATTTTGTGATGAAGATCCAGAACCTCTACCATGCCTGATCCTGAGTGGGGTACGCTGGTGTGCAGGAGGTGCCTCTGTAAATGCCTGATCCAGTCCTCCTGGATAGACAGAGGACCCTGGAAGACGAGGTCACAGAATCTGCAGGAAGAAGAGGAGGAAGAAGCCTTTTAACTGACTCAAGAGTAAATGCAAAAACGATATCTTTATAAACACGTCCTTATGCATCGTTCGTTTTAGTCTGACAGGATTCCTCCTACAGCCAGTTAGATTTAGGTTAGATTATGTATGCAGCTTTCAATACAAGTTCAAATGTTTGCATGAAGTAAGAGAGATATGGGTCGAATGGAAAATAAATATTTATTTTCTGAGTCAGCAGTTAAGTGTACTAGCTTGCTAGCATTACATTTATGCAAAACAACAGATAAACATTGACTAGTGAATGTCACATTATTTGCAAATGGTCTGACGTCTGTCAAAAGAGCTGATATCGGGTGATACTGATGTTCAACCAATGTTTTGGTTCATCCCTGTTTAATAGTACCTGAGGCAGACAATCAAATTAGATTTGGGTGTTTAATACTTTTATAACCCAGGTTGGCAATTCAAAAATTCTACATCAGCCTACATCTACATGTTATCCATATTTTTTTCGTTAAGACACCAGTCATCAGTTTCAATAAGCACTTGATATAGGCCCGACACTGAAACATATCCAGCTGACTATCTTAGGGCTTCAAGTCATGTCACTGTTGCTTTTAAGTCTTATTTATCTTTAATAGACAAAGCTCATCAGCTAACCAGCTTAATTTAGCTGAGTTCATTAGTGGAACACCCCCCCCATCAAGAAGAACTTTTTTCAAATTCAGAATTGCTTCAATGAAACGTTTTATGTTTTACTTACCAGGTATGTTAGTTATTGAAGAGGAGGTGACTAATGCTGATGATTGGGCATTACATTTAATCTAAGCAATGTTTGAACTAACACAGAGCTGATCCAGCCAAGTACGGGTTTCCCAAAGGAATTGAGAACACACCCCACCTTTTGGGAAAATGGTGTGCCAATGCACACTCTACCTGAGGAATGGCAGCATACTGGGCATTGTGTCACATTGTTCTGTGATTGGTTTGGAAGTGCCTTAAAGCTCCTGTGAGGAGTATTCAGTTCCTCTTGATTTGGTGCCCCCTCTGCACAAAGAGGAACATCTTAAATCTTTGCAGAAATTGTCCAGTACCTGTGTACAGTTAGTCAAACGTTTGGACACACCTGATTGAAATGCATGTTATAATCTTAAAGACATTTTGACCTAAAGGCTTAAATGTTGAAGTCTGTTTCTTATATAAATACAAATAGTGAAGTTGATGTATGCATTTTTTCCAAAACAAAAATTATATTTTATTTTTATTGTTTAATATCTATTATAATTCTAAAATGTGGAAAATGTTAAACATAAAGAGAAACCCTTCTATTGGTAGGTGTGCCCTAGATACAATTTTTGACTGGTAGTTAGTGTTTTCTGATGAAGAATTTTCCTCTAGTTTCTTTTAACAGTTAAATGTACGACACACTGTCAATCCATGCTGTGGAAAAATTAAATAAAGGGGCTGTTTCTACAGCGAGATGTTAATTACTACAAATGACACCTACCCCCCCTCTCGGCAGCGGCTTCAAAGCTTCAAAGTAACTCTATAGAAATAGTTCATCCTGATATTCTGGGTAGATTTGTAGGTCATAAAGAGGCATCAGTGTTTATTCCAGTCAATTTCATAATAAGCTGAAATCTCCTCACAGGCGCTTTAAGATGCTCGGTGGTTTCTGTTCATGATTCTTTTAGGTGGTCCCAGATAAGGAATCATAATTAGTCCAAGTTTTGACTGGTGTGCTGGTTTATGCATCTTCTCTCTCTTCATTCAGGGTTTACAAATGAGTGTATCTGAGCGAGACAAGCATTTACCACATCCTAAACTCAGAAAACCATGGTAACATAAGTGACCTTGTGTGTACCTGCAGGTGAGTGTGTATATCTCAGCATTCAAAGAGGGAAAAATCATCTTCTTGAGCCCAGTCCTTGGTCTCGGCTTCTTCTGTTTATAATCATAGCCTAGAAGACAAAACACTGCACTTCTTAATCCGAGGGAATAAGTTATCACTAAAGAGAATCATAAACAAATCATCTTGAAGCAAAACAAGTATTCTCTATCACAGACTGAGCACAGAAAGCCCTCATGTTGAAATTTGCGTTCTAGTGTTTTGTCAGAAACTTACCTTGCCCTTCAAAAATGCTAATCCTCTTCCTGTGTGCATTGGATCCAGGCTGACCTGGAGGCCTGGGGAAGGTGCTGTTACACTCAATTAAGATGGTTTTTGAATCACGATCCTCTGAGAGGAAGGGAAAATAAAAGTCAAAGAAAATGAAGGAAAATGATCACAGCATTTAGGAGGAACTTATTATCGTAGTTTCCACTTGATAAATCTTTTAGAAATATAAAAAGTAATCAAGGTTTTTATGATCATCTGAAGTTTGGTTCTCTTTAGTAGTTAAGGAACAAAGCCTGAGAGATGGTGTTAGGAGTTCACGCAGTAATTTCATTATCAAGCAAAACTGTCAAACCGCCCAGTGTGTGCTCTGCAGTCGTCTTCCACCTGGTTTCATACGTAGCGTCTGATTTGCACTCTCTTGTTTGAAAAGTGTTACCAGTGAAGTTTAACACAATCCTGTGACTTCAGGGGGGCTTTTTTCACATGCACCACCTCCCGAGAATCACAAAGGCTTCATAAAGTACACACATGAAAATCACAGATCTGTTAGTCCTCGACAGAAAACTGGCAAGGACACTGCTGTGCACCAGGGCCTGTTAACAAATATTTAGAGGTGGGATGGAAGAAAATATTCTACACAATCAACCTGGTTTTAATCTTTAATTATTACTAAAAATGTAAGAATCCCAGGATTCAATTAAATGTATCAAAGTAGTTTTTCCATGCTACAGACTTGTTCTAACTAAAACACTGAAGTCTTTGGCTTGTGGTAAAGGTATAATGTTCACTAAATGATGAAACTGTTTTATTGTTCTCATCCTAATTGTATCAAAGATGGTAGGAAGTCATCTTTAGGAGAACATTTCAGTTGAGTAATTGGAAACCTCTAATTCTCGAGAACCAGTGGTGTAGTGCAGGAAATGCACAGGTATCGGGGGATATACTGACTTATTTTTTAGTCTCCACTGCAAACATGAACTTCTAAATCCCCTCTGAAGCGTATCAATCATTGGGTAGTATGCTGCAACCTTTACCTTGGATTGCAAAGGAACAACCCGCCCTACTCTGGCAATTGCTCAATTGGCAAATACTCGATGTTGCGTTTTTTTGGTTGGTTGGGTGAGAATATCAGGGTGAGCACATCAGAGGTGTTGTAGGGTGGGTCATACTTTGCCAACTCATAGTCAGGTGACTGGCGTGGAGAGATGGAGGGCGGAAAGAGCCTCAGAAAGTGGCCGAGTCTGTGGGTCTGCAGCAGTGGCTTATTAATTCACCATCTCTTCAAAGTTTTGCATATTTACATTAGCTGACAACTGCAGAAAACCAGAGATATGAAGATAAACTGAAAAGTTTGGGGCCCTTGTTACTCTGTTGCACCGCACTTGTGAGAACGTTTCAATCGCTACAAACAGCAAAGTCACTGTCAGGACTACTGAAAAACCCTTCCCCTTACATGGCCAGAAGAGTGAAAGCCTACAAACATATTCTCAATATAGATGGGTCAATGATGCTGCTGTTTGAGAAGTGAAGGGCAAGAGGGCAAGCCTAAGTGAGTGGCTAATTAGCTCACATTCAGTAGTAAATGTCACCTAATGACAGTATCAGGATCAGTGTCAGCTGCCACGTGCAGTCAGTGTTCTGGGGCAGTAATGTTGGTTCTAATGTCGTAATATTTCGACTAACACAACATCTTATGGCAGGATTAAGAGAAGTCTGTTCTTTTCATCCCTCACCATGGGACATCCGCTCCTCTCTGAGTTTTTTTTCTCTCACATGGGATTCTGTGGAAGTACAACTCAGAACAGCAACTGTCTTTCAAATTAAAAAGTAAAAGATAATGCTGGTTAAAACATGTAGGGGGCAGCTGAGTACTGTAACTTCTCCTTAGCGGGCAACAGTAGGAAGACTTTCTTGCCCTCCAGGTGGGCGATTCCATAAGAGTGTTATGTCAGGTGAAAAGTATGAAGTATGTCTGTTATGTTCAGTAAGCTGAGTACTCGATTGTGTTGATTTGTACACATTTTCAAAATCCCGCTGAGGAATAAGGAACAGTTCCAGTTCAATATGCTGAATGATGTCATTGTCTTGGCCTAAAGTTTGTGGTCTAGTATGGACTGTAAAATCTGCATCTCTTTAACTCATGATAATTAAATAACGATCCTTACTCTCTGAAGTTACGTAACAATGAACAAATACTGAAGACTACTTTTAGGTGGACTAAACATGCAAAAGCATTCTGACATGTCACTGTTTCTAACGCAGAGTTTCAATCCTGGCATTTTGGGAATAAATTAAGAGTATGAACATTCAAGGCACCAAAAAACAAGAACCATACATTTCAGTTCATCATAAAACTCAACAAAGAGCAATATTAAACTTTCTCAGCATCTTTTTCAGTACCTCACTAGATTTTTGTTTTGGACCGACATTAAACGAAAGCGTGTAAACACGGACAATGAGCTTCCAACTCAACATCAAGAGGACTTCATCATTTTTTCATACAAACTTCAAAGGCTCTGTGGCCACATTCAAACCTACAGTAGTGTTTTTTTTCTCACTAAATCAGATCATTGATATGGAACTATAGACACATTGCTGACCTATCTTCTATCTGCAGTACACAGGTCTCTGTGAACAGATTCTGAAATCTGTGATCAACTATTGAGGAAATTCAGAGGAGCTGACGAAAGCATCTGCACTTAAAGTAGTGAATTTGTTTGTAAAAAAATAAAACTGCCCAACTCTTCATTAGTGGAAAATGGGAGTTTGTTGCACCTGCACTTATTTCTTAGCTTTATTTACTGACAAATCCATTCTTACAATAAATTACTAAAAGAATATTTGGGTATTTAGACTGTTGTTGTTCTGATGTCGGTGTTTGAACTAACTGAGCAGTTATTTAGTGTAAAAGTTGATGTGCATGTTTTGGAAATGCTTTAATGCTTTTTTTGAGTTGTTAAAATCCTTCAGTTCAGAATATTTAAAATGTGGAGCTTTTCTTTCACTAAGACTTATTTATTAATTTCCCATCAAATAAACACATTGTTGTATTTCAATTCCCCACCTTATGACTCACAGGACCAATAGACTAGCTCAGAGTTAATGGTCATCACTGTGTTTATGTTTACATTTTCTCACATTGAGTGCTTTCAGATACTGTGAACAACAATCAGTGTCCACAACAAATTTGTCTCTCTCTTCCTGCTTTAAGGAAAATGTAAATGTGAATAAAGAATCAAATAGCACTCTGCAAGTCACTTAATGGAAACTTCAAAGGGTTCAAAAATCTAATCGAAATCATGTTTAGTGCACAAAAAAAAAAGACTTACTTTGAGGCAGCTTTGGCTCCACTCGGTAATCTTCGCTCAGATCTCTGAGCTTCCTGGTTTTATCGACTTCCTGGTTGATTCTCTCGTTTCTCTGTGTCATCTGGAGTAGTTGAACCAAAGTGCTTTGGGAGGCCTTGGTGCCACTCTGTGCCTCTACCTCGAGCATCTTCTCTTCTTTAAAGTCTATCTTCTGTTTTGGTAGAAAGGGATGTGGACTATTTATTTCATACTGGATTTTGACTGGGACGCCCCTCTGCATGAAGCCCAGGCTTTTGCTCCTGGTGAACTTCTGAGAGGCAAATGAGCGTGATGGGTCCTGGCTCCCGTTGAGGACTTGTAGGATGTTTCGATGTTCCTTGTTGTCCTGTAGCAGCTCATGTAGGATAGACAGCGGAGATTTGCTGGTGCTGGTAACACCAATTCTTTTCAAGTGTCCTCTTACATGGTTAGTGAGGCCAGTCTTAGAATCAAACTGAGACCAGCACAGGGGACATTTGTGCTCTCCTTCTGATTCCGGCTTAACAGCTGTAATATCAGATAAAGTGTCAAAAGTTTAAATAAACGAATAGAAACCCAAAGCAATATTTATTTGATAGTAGAAAATAATGCATAACCTTCCAAAATCAGTATCGCATATCACAGCTGCAAACACAAGGCGGCTATTACTCATATTTTTTATGATAATTTAAATGGCCTTTTAAAAAGTAGGTGATCTCATATTGATTCCGTGTTCATTCTTTCGTTTCCTTTGACACTAATTGCCTAAATTTTACACATTTACACATAGAGGAACAGCAGTTTAGGCCACAGGAAGATGGTTGTTATGCAAAGAAAGCATGGTCAAGACAGAGAATGGGAATATGAAGGCTAAGCTGAGGTCAAAGATACAGATAACAAAAGAGCTAAGATGTTACAGAGTTAGCTGCTCTGTGAGGCTGAGCCCGGCCACAGCTACGCTACGATCAAAAGGCTAATGTGAGTGACATCACTAATGAAATAAGAAGCAAGTTTTTCATTTCGTTATATTAACATGTTAGCATCTCTAGATTTCCTGATAAGCTAACTTGAAACATTATGTAAAGGCTGATTTCTTTGAATTGTAAGTCTGTACCAGATTTTAATTAACCAACAGTTTTTCATATATTTTAGTCTAGACCAGGGGTGGGCAACTGGCGGCCCCCATCAACCCTCAACGTGGCTCTCGGGTCAATTTGTACATATCAATTAATTGGAAACATGATGAAAACATGACAAAATCTGCCATGAAAACATGAAAACCAGAAATATGTCCATAATAACATTTGATCAGTGGTATATGTTGAGTTAAATTTGAGACATAATTGACTGTAATCGTTTTTGTATCCTACAATTTGGCCCCCTGGCAGTGAGAATGAAATGAATGTGGCCCTTGCTGTGACCAAAGTTGTGGGCCAATTGGCATCGTCACCTACAGAGACAAACTAGTTATAGTTTAGCTGACATTATTGCAGGTCTTGAATGACCATCCTGATTCAAATTTGGATCGTGAAGTTTCTTGAGTTATTATGTACTCAGGAGCGTGACCAAAGGGGCAGCCAGGGATGGCATGGGCCCCCCTTGAAATCTGATTGGCAAGTCCAGGTGCCACCCCAAAATCCAAATCAATGATTGGATATTTGCCTATTCAGAGGCCGGACTTAAGTTAAAATCAACTATTCTGGATGTTTTCAACAGTCTGCTGGTAGTTTTCTTTACGTGTAACTGTAGCAACTTTTATGCCATTTTCCGAGTACTTTAAATAGTGACTTTTGCACATCCTTTCTAGCCCCTAAAGAATCAAAGGGTAAGAAATTGAAATTCATTTGTGTATGTGTGGCACCATAAACTTCATGCCACCCCTCCATAAGTCAGTGCCCCAGGTGGGCCACCCTAGTTACCTGTATATATTAGGTAATTTTTTAAATACAATAGGTTGTCTATTAATTTCCTTTGTAAAAAACTTTGTGTGTGGAGTAGTTAGTTTGTAGTTGCATTTGATATTAGTTGATCAGATGCTTGTACCTTTCCTGACTGTCCTCGGGATCCTCCTGCGGAGTCGTTGCCGATGATCCTGCATTGTCACCTGCTCTGGCGGAACGATGTGTCGAGCATTATAGCTCAAGCCAACTCTGTGCAGGTGTCCTCTCACGTGATTTGACAGACCCACTCCGGAATCAAACATGGCGGGGCAGTATGGACAGGGCTTCTGTTCTACCCCTGGTGAGGGGAAAACATCACAGCCCTGACTTGTAGACGTAAAAGGAGGCCCTGGAGGACCATCACACTCTGTGGTTTCTATATACTCCTCCTTGATGATGAGCTGCTCTATGTCACTGCAGTCTTCGTCTCCCCCATCCTCATCCTTGAGTACATGGGGGCTTTGGTCTTGGGCTGAAAACCGCTGCCTCTTTTTGAAGTACCTACGAGCATACGGGTTCCTTTCATTCTCGTTGCTTTCCAAGAGGCTCCCTGTAGCTCCGCTGGTGTCATCACTGAAGTTACTGCTGCCCTCACAGCCTTTATCCATCTTCAGATCTGCAGCATTTTTCTTGTGCCTCTGGCTAAGCCTCTGCAATTTATAACCATTCTTATTGTCAATAGATTTATGCAAGGGTGTCGACATTTTCCTAGTTAATGGAGAGTTTTGGTCTGCTTTCACTTGCAAAGTCCCACTAGCCCGGTCGTTCTTTCTTTCCTGACAGAACATCTGGTCTAATTTAGGATTTCTTGCTGAGAGTAAAAAATCAGCATTTGCAGGATAGTTTTCCTGCTTTGTGCTGCCAAAAGCCTTGCAGTTATCGTTTTCACCATCTTCCTTCATGCAGGTAAAATCACGTGCTGAATCTAATTTTTCCGCAGGTTGTAGGAGTAACTTTCCATGCCGGTCCACCCTCCACAAAGATGGTGAGTCAGCGTTTTTGGTGCAACCCACTTGGTGCCGAAATTGAGGGAAAGTAACTGTATTTTCATTGGTCTTTTGAATATAAACGTCCCTCTTTTTACTGGAACAGTAGGGGAAAAAGGTCCTAGTTCTGATTGGTTTAGACCCCTCAAATCTTGGCTTGTCTGCAACCATTTTTAAATAACTGTCATTTAATTTGTAATATTTCAACTCAGATTTTCTTTCCAAAATGTCTTTGTCTCTGCTGGTGAAAAAACTCTGAGGCTTGTCCACTTCCTCTGCATCTTCAGCATGAGTCCTGAGGTTAGGTCTCTCAGAGTGTGCAACATGCAAGTGTGCTTCCAGTGCCGGCTGTGTCAGTGTTACGTAGTTACACTCCTCACAGAAGTAATAATGCCTCAGATTCGTATGTTTTTTGGCGTGCTGGACAGAGATTTTAGGGCAGTTACAGGCGGATACACACTGAGGGCACTGCACCGTGCGGCCCCTGTCTTCCACTTCTGTGGTTTTGAGACCTTTGATTTCTTCCATAAGTTCTTCCAGCCTGTCTTGGTGAATAATGATGTGGCTCATGAGGGAGTTGCTATCACAGAACAAACGCCCACACTCCCTGCATATAAAAGGCTGTGAAACATTCTCACTGTTCACCTGATTATTCTTGCCTAAATGATACATCATATGTCTATGGAAATGTCCTTCTTCCTTATAATTAACATTGCACTTTGTGCATGAAAAGAGAAGTGGATCTTGTTCAACTTGTTCTGTCTTGAGCTGTTCTACTTTGGGACTCAAACTGTCTTCATCTTCAGGGTCATTTTCCTCATTACCGCCTTCCTGTGCTGAGCTATAAATATGGTGCTCAGAGTCTGAAGCCTTGTTTCTAGAAGGACCTTTCAGGGGAACGATGGAAAACGTAATATCAGACTGTGTACCCAAAGAATCATCTATGTTTGCCATGGCAACATTTTCAACATCATTACAAGCGCAGACACAGAAACGTCGTGGCATGTGTGATTAAAACTGGTGTTAACCTTTTCCGTGGAGCCCGTCATGCTTTGTACGCGTGTATTGTGCTTCCTGGCTCTTTGGTGCATCACTTTGGTCTCGAGCCTTCTGTCATAGTGCAAGAATCGCTCCCTCGCTGAATCCCATCTGATTGCTTCAGCATCATCATAATCATGCGAGGCGCTCTCTGACCGTTCTGCGTCCCGTCGGGATCTTGTTTTCATTGTCTGTTTTGTCAAAGGTTGGCTAATGTGCATTTGCTCCGCGCCGTCACCTGACAATGTAGAATAGGCCAGTTTAGACTCATTCTCCTCCGAGTGAGACAGTGGCGTGTTGACACCTGGCTGTGTGGCTGGTGTTTTTACGACGGGCCCTGCTGTGTTCTTCCAAGCGTCTGATTGAAGCTCACTAGGTGGTGGTAACACCTCGGGGCGTGTGTCCTTCTCCGCTTGCCACGCGGCATCCAGGACATTGTTGGATAAAACAGTGCCTTTGTTCAGGACACAGTGTACCTCTGAGGTGGGGTGTGAACCAGGTCCATTAACAAGTGCTCCTGAAGGCAATGAATTGCCTGCATGGGGAACAGCAGGGACACTGCTGTATACAAATGGATTCGGCTGGGTTCCATTTAAAGGGTTTTCGTGTTCATCTGAGGACAGACCTGCAGCATTGTTCTTCAGGGAGAATGTGTGACTCTGTAATGGCTCCTGAGCACGACCTGGGCTGACAGACACAGATTCCACGTCTTTGTCCTTTTGTGCATCTGGCTTCAGATCAGACATAGTAGCACTCCTTTCTGAAATATAAAAAAATATATCAAAAGATTTTGAATTGTACACTTTATTTCCTGTAGTCAAGTAAAACAAGATATGTTTTTCAAGCATTACATTGCCTTTAATTTAAAAAATAATACAATTTAAAAGTGATGATATTGGTTCAGTTGTTTTTTTAGCTTTTCATCACAAAATGAGAGAGGTATTATTCTGCGCCGCATTATGATTTTCAACACCCTCTTTCCCCACCTCTATTCACAACAAACCCTGCTGTTAGCCCCTGAATACCCTGGTGAGGATACTTAATTATGTGAGCGTACCTCTGGGATAAAACCTTCCTGCTTCTCCACCTTAAGTTCTCACTCGTCTGCTAAAATTGACCAATTTCCATGGGAACAAAGTACACCTCCAATGAGATCATATTGCGTCTTATCACTCTGTGATGGTGCAAACACAGATCCCAGCATGAGACTGTTGTTACTTGAATCCTGACAAATTGACAGGCGCACAATCTGTCTGTAACGCAAACAAAGACCGACCCACAAAATGAAAGCATATGCCTCTGTGCAAACACTCGGATGGATGCAATAATTCTCTAATGAATACTTGGATTTGGGCAAGAGCAAAATAATCTCTAGTATTTTTTTTTTTTTTAATTTATGAGCTGATGTCTTTGAGTGATTAAACCTGATTATAAGCAGCTTGAAATAAAAACTGTGTATGCTTCATCTCTCACAGATGACGTTGTTCTCCTCCAAAGATTTTAAAATGTATGCTCAGAGGATTTGACATCCCGGGCTGATCGTTTTCTACAGGAAGCTGTGTTGCTAACGAAGTGGTAAATTCAGTGTTAATGAGTGGCTTCACTGTTACCACCTCGGAGGTAAAACCTTCCAAGCTCCATATTCTCCCCATCTGTTATGGTGTTAGAGGTTCGAAAGGGGAACAGACGCTCTGCATTTACAGCGACCTTCATTATTACCTCCAAACGGCAGGGTGGCAAAAACCATCAAAATATCTTTGTTCAAAGTGTGTGAGGCTCATTAGCAGCCAGCACACACACTCTATCATACTATCTATATATATATATATATATATATATATATATATATATACTGTATATGTATAAAAGCACAGAAGCTCGACAGAAATATAATTTCTTAAAAACTAATTTGCTTCTATTCACTTCACTTAGTCAATGTTAAAAGGCTGACTTTGCCTTGCCTGAAGATATTTACAGGGATTATAAGATTTAATACAGTTAAGCTGTATGAACAGATCAATCTGCTATGAGCCTTCACTAACCCGGTGTGCTGTTTTCCCCGAGACACTAGCCTCGATTTTCAGTTTGCTAAATGAGATTTAATGGGGGCATCAGCATTGCTCACTGTTTACAAAAGAAAACACCTCACAGCTTTGTATTGAAGAGTCTTTGGACTTTGACTTTTCTCTACTTGCACAGTTCACTTCTGGTCTTTATTAAGTCATCTGAAAAACAGGATGTAAACTCGTACATCGGCCCTGCAAATAACTGTGATAGTAAGATCTGTTACATATAACATGTCCTGGTTTGACTAAAGTATAATAAATATCCACTTAGTGGTTCTCTCATTAGGAACAATGGTACAACGATATGCGAAACGATACCGCTCCTTAGTGCTCTACCACTGCATTCCCTTTACCTCGGAACTCGGATCTCGAAGCAGGTAAAGACTCACTAAATTTTTGAGTCGTAGAACTAATGTTGAAGTCTGGATGAATATCAGCCTGATCGTGCATTTTTAGCTGTGCAGTGTTCACTGAGGCATTATGACCGATCACAGCCCGATCAGCTGCTGCTCCATGATTTTCTGGCATGTTTGAAATTTTGGTTCTACAACTGCACACACTCGCACAATGAGAGCAGAGCCACACATCGATTCAGGAGCTTTTGTTTCCCTGATTGTGCCTGCACAAACTAGGCCACAGTCCTCGACACGCTGGTTGTTTAACTCCAAGACTGTGATGATTTGGTGAATGACAAATCTCTTTCCCGTCTGTCTTCAGCTGTCCTATCAATTAAGGCAAAAGGCCATAAATAATGTTTAAGAAAAGAAACGTACATTGTTACATTACTAATGAATGTAAACTTATGTATCTTCAAAAGAAGTCAATTTCTAAACCATGGGATTGATCCTCTGGATCAAAGTCAAGTGTTTCTGTTTTATCTATGGCTCCAAACAGCCGACTCGAGCAGACCTTTGTATCCTAACTTATTCAAATAACTTCAACAGAATATTTCAGGGTGGCACCCAGCACTAATGCCAGAGGGGAACCTATAGCGTCACAATTTGTGGTGCTGGACCTCTTTCCAAGATGCTGGATTGGACAAATTGGGAGTAGAAATTTGCCTTGTGAGTCGGTCTCGGTCGTCCCATCAACACACGTGTGACACTCCTTAATAAAAGACAATCATTTTTAATTTGTAAAGAAATTATTGAGCTTGTTGTATTGGCAACAACTGGATTTTACAGTTGTGTTTCTTAAACTACATTAAAGTTTAAGTTTTCATTTTGTACCAACAGAAGAAATGAAATAAGTTAAAGTTAAAATGATCTCCTGCAGCATGCTTTGACGTTTGGTGGGCTGGGAAGCGTGCCATGTACTCACATCACTTTAGTCTCAGAGTGCGCCTCACAACCTCAGCTCATGTCAGGCTCTGTTCTCTTTTATCTTCCTGTCATTTCACACCATGCACAATCTCATTTCAGGAAAATGCTTCATTTCTCTGTGTAACATTTGCCCTTGATTTTTTTGTTTTTCCTGAAAAACTTGTTTCATTACACCACAATGGGTAACTGTGTTAGTCATAACTTTTGTCAATGTTGTGATATTTGCAGAAGTAAATGACCTACTGGCATCAAAATAACACAGATAAATATATTTGTGCCAGTATTTTCTAATATTTCATATTTCAAGGACCTTTTATGCCTGAAAGTTGAAATCTAAAGCTGTGGAAAGAGTATATCTATATATTGAGTAAAATAAGCCAAGGAGCTAGTGTAATTTCTTTTACATAAATATGTAGATTACAAAGTTTTTAGACATTTGATATATAAAGATGAACTATGATATCAGCACGTTATTAGTACCAACATTTTGTGGATGACAAAATTTAAGAAATATTTGTGGTTCAATACCAAACAGCAACCTCAAGTCTTGAAAAATGAAGCCAAAGCAGAAGTGCAAAATCATGCAGTTCCTTTAGTGTCCACTTGAGGCTGCTCCCTGCCGTAACTGATGGCTGACGTCACTCAGGCTTTGTCCATTAATATTTACAGTCTATGGTTAATACACAAAAAAATACATGTTAGCTGCATCCTAAAACTATAACCTGACTAGTCACTATGAAGGGCATTGGATTGAAATTCGTAAAATGTATTTGCATTTTAGACCATTCTGAAATAAAAACGAATGAAACACCCAAACTTTAAGTCTGATGAGGAAGACAATCGTTGGAGGAGACAGAGTTTGGGGCTGTAGAACTGTAAGGCTGTCGAGTCTGTGCAAGTTGCCTCTTCTCGTTCAACTGAAGACCCAGTCTGGCAGCACAATGGAGCCAGCGCTGAAAACCAACTGGGACCAGTCAGCCAAACCATTCTGACTGCTGGAGCTGTCTGTACGGATAAACAGCCAACCTCACATCGCTCTCCCATCGCCTTTACTGGAGAAATGTCTAAACAAGCGGAGCCACGGTCCCTCAAGCACGGCATTACCACAACTTCCTCAGCTAATGGGATCTATTGATTTATTTGACACAATGAGAATTTATGAAGCTGCCTCTTAAGTGTCAGCGTATCAAAGTGTGGCTCAAAACAAACAGAGATCCAACTTGTCACTCTTGTAATCCCAAAGGTGAGTGTTTTCACTCAGCAAAGGTGCCCCAGCAGAAGAGAACCCACACTGTTCAATTCTTCCTCTGCCTTTTTAGCTGTGCCGTTCTACACACAGTATCAAACAAGAGATAAAACAAGGGAAAATTAGCAATATGCCTAAGAATACTTTCCTCATTGTGACAAACTCTTTGATTTCACAGACAATGGTGAAAAGTAAAAAAAACGTAAAAAATAAAAAGCAAATAAAAAAAAACTTAATTTCTTAGATTTGCACAAGAGAAGCTAAAGAGAGAGGCTTCACATGATGTCTTTGTCTGGATTACGCTCTCTTTTATCCCTCTGAATTCTTGTCACCCAAAGGTCATTTCCATAATAATGGTCTCTATTCTCCCTAATGGGATTTTGGCTGTGATTATGTATGCCAGCATCTTGTGCAGACACTATCAGCCCTGTCATCCTGAATTGCACAAATGTAATTACACAAAGCCTTTGATAACTAAACAATGTAATTTACTGCTTGACTGAAAATATATACTGGAGGAATATGACTGGAATTATACACTAAAGGAAAACATATGAGTACCATAGGTCGTGTGTTGCATAGAAAAGTCTGTTCTTTAGATTAAGAACTAATTGAATGCTAATGTATGCTAAAACAACAGAAACACGTGTTCAACAAAGCAAGTTAAGAAAAGAAACATATTCACATATCAGTATCTTCAGACATAACTTTAACGTTTAATGTAGAATTTTATTTGAATGTTTACAATAAAATATCTACATAAACTAAAAATGGACTAAACCTATATAATATATATCTTTTGATGATGAGTACTTACATTACCTCAAATAGTTCCAAACATTATCAAAGCCAGACAAATCTGTCAGTTTTTAGTTGTTACAGGACATGTCTTGTCGTGGCAGAACCCATGACAGAGGCGCCATGACGGCAACAATTTTTTTGGGATGTTGTATCAAAGACCGCTGCATGAGGAAGCAAGAATTGCTACTGAAAGTTGCCGTTTGTTTTGGGGGGGCGGGGAGGGGCAGAGAGTATCACTCCAATGATTCCCCCGCCAGCCTTGACGACATCTTTTGTCATTGTTTTGATTAAGAGCCCCCTGGTGGTGGATC